ATGTAATTGCGATGCTAACCCTTGTTACAAAATAAACCGAATTATATACTACCGTATTTCACGGGCCAAACCACCCCTCTGTCGGATCATATGGATATTTCCATGATGCATATCAAATTAATAGCCTGTATGTATGTTATCACTAAATAGTGATAGGAAAACAATCGTAGTATAATAAATATATTATGCATCTGAATGCACCATCGAAATATCCATATTATCCGGTAATTATTTTACAAGAGGGGTGGGGGTGGTTATGCCCGCGAAATACGGTATATCGATATGATTTTAATATTACAATAGTACATTGTTTACATTAGCGTTAATACGTATACTAGTATTCTAGTCTGATACTACTTCCTTAACAAAGATGATTCTTCTGGAATATATTGAAATACCATTTTTTTTCAATGATTCTCATAAAAAATAAATTATGCTTTTATTCAATATATTTTCAATGTTCCATTTTTGCACCAAAGCAGTTGTGTGAATCTTATAATTTGCTGTTTAAAATCTTGCATAAAGAATAAATACTAGTGGATATATAAATCCGATTTAAAGATTCTTTGCATAGTAATTATAGTAATTAAAGTAATTAAAGAGTATACCTTAGGAAAAAAAACTATATATATATTTTTTTATTGGTAAAATAGAGATTAAATGAAGTATTTGCAAACAGCAAATAATACGCTAATATATAATAAGAAACTTGTTATTTCAATATGCACAAATTATACATATAAACTAATTATTTCCAAATACGTACATGAATACTTGCGCCAAAATTTATTAACAAATAATAATATACGTATTATACTTATACATATAAACTAATTATTTCCAAATACATGAATACTTGCGCCAAAATTTATTAACAAATAATAATATATGTACTATACTTATATATATATACATATATACCAGATATATTAAGATAACTTTTAGATTATTCAAATTGTTTAAAATTATTAGTTTCTAAGAATGTTAATCGATTAATTTTTCAACCTTACTAAATTTCGGTATGTCACTTTCACATATTTTCCTTTTAAAGATAAAAAAATTATCATCCATGATTTATGCAAAATACTCAATATTAAATTAACTGTTTTCTTTTTACTATAATTATTTCAAATATTATTGATACAATGAAATAGTTAATGAAAAAAGTTTAATCACACCAAAAATATACACTTTAATACTTTTAGTACTTACGACAAAAGGTCAAATATTGCGAAAATAAGGATAGGATAAGGTACCCAAAGTGAAGGTAAATAAGGTGAACAAAGTGTTAAACATGTTATAACCTATATTCAATAAAAATTTAATAAACATAACAAATATATTTTAAAAAAGTATGTATTAAACAAATAAGAAGATCATAATGACAATGTAATGACCTTTAAAACCATAATAACAAGTTTTAAAAGTTTCCACCAGCTAATGTCTTCAAATATATATGAATAAATGACCATAATGATATATGGTAGTCGTGATATCAAAGTTGGAGATGAAGATAAATGAATTGCAGCTGTCGAGTTTTCATGAAATGAACCATTCTTTAATATTATATAATAAATATCAACAGTGAATAATGAGGAATAATTAGTCAAATAATAGGAGGTACTTTTTTTAACAAACTTTACAAATTACCTGTTCAACAACAAAATCAGGTTCAACGGTAGTATTAATAATATCCAGTGTTATTGATATCCTATCAGTAGCTTCAATATTTATTCTTCGCCTTCTTAACTCTGATTCATTTATTTCTTTATCATCAGTAGATTCTAATGTTTCTTATATGAAATTGGATACGTTAAAATCAAAGAGGAGGAAAAAAAAGGTTGAAAATTAAAATAGAATGCACCTTACCAGGATTTGTTGTAACTGTACTAGTATTTGATGGAATTCGTGAAAGTTTCTCAGGTTCTAAATGTGAACTAATTTCATGTAAAGAATTTGAAGTTCTTATATCATTATCTAATATGGGAGTAACTTTGAATGGATCCTAACATATTATGAAATGTAAAATTAAAATTTAATTAATAGGTTTAAAAAAAATATCTCTCTCATTTTTTTTGAATTATTGTATAATAAGATAGTTACGATCGTTACTTCATCGTAAACGTTCATGGTCTCCATACTAATAAAAGTGAAACGCAAGTCACCAACATATTTTAAAATTTCATCACATGATGACTTACTTTTAGCATTGCGAGGCATTACTAGTCATACCATTATCCGGAAGTGATAGCTTAAATGATTTAAATGAAATATAGTCAATAAAAGTATCACATAAGGTTATAAGGTTATAATGTTACCGCAAAATCTCGAAATAGCGGGCATGGGTGTTATTTCGAATTTTGGCCCAAATTAAGCTTAATGCTGGCCAAAATTCGAAATAATGCCCATGTCCCTATTTCAAGATTTTACGGTATAAGGTTATTAAAAATACTAACCAATTAAAACGCATAATTCCTTGTATCAACATCTTCAATTTGATAATATGGAAGTCTTGAGTAACATAAAGAATAAAGTACCATTCCAAGTGACCACATATCTGATTTTTGATAGTATTCTTTAAAATAACGACCTCTTTCATCAACTATATAAAGATTTCATTAACCAAATATTTATATAGATTTATAGATTTAATACATGATATATTTGTTGTAAGTTGTAATTACCGGTTAATAGTTCTGGTGCCATAATTTCTAGTGTTCCAGTAACACCAGGTCTATCACGTTCGGAGAGTTGGTCTAAAATTTCACATTCACCAAAATCCGATTTCAATACTCTTGGTCTAAATAATATATAAAATAAATAGATTGTTATAGATAATCATAGATAATAAATATAGATAGTAAATATAGTAGATGATATTGACATACGAACATTCCAGTCGAATCTTCAGAGTTATCATATTGTAATGGTAAATTAGAAGGTTTTAAATTCGATGGATAATACCCTGTCCATGTAAATGAGCCAAACCTCCACAAATATTCATAAATAAAGAATAAATTTCACGAAGGTACAAAGATCGTTTTGAAGGTAAAGGAGAGTTGAGGGTCAGTTGATCATTTAAATGACTTGGATGAAACATTCTCGCACGAAGTAAACGTTCTTTTGGTGTAAGATGATGATCATTAGAATCTTTTTGCATGGAAAAAGTGGATGATTGAATATCAATGAATTCTTCCAAATTGCCACCATTAGCACGTTCCATTAATATTAATAAACATTAATTAATTAATTCATTAATTCATTAATCGCATTATTGTAGTCGGTAACAAGATGGTAATAAATGGGTTTCCCCAATAAATCAGATGTTAAAATACCATAAACAAAATCTTTCGAATATCTTGATAATCAAAAATTCTCGGTGAATAAAGCTGGTACCTAAGATAAATTCAGGATAATCAATTCGTTGTGATAGTAGAATTTTTCATTTATCAATTTATTTACCTCTACTGAACAAATATCAATCTGACAATCGGTAAGATCATTACGTATTTGAACATCGGCGTGCTTTTTGAATACTTCCATATCCATAACCATGCGACGTTTTGCGGATAGTTCTAAGGCTTCACAATGAACGCATTCACTAGTTTTCCCATCTAGTACGAAAATTGGGGATTCACCTGAAGATCTGAAAAAAGATATTACAAATTTAATGAAACATTTCAATTCAGAACTTAATCAAGAAACATAAATTACCTTCCTTCTTTGACTACCTATATAATCATTAAATATAAAATATTCTTAATATTCGAAATATATAGCGTGTAAATTGATCTTTTTTTGTTTTATACCATTGACATTATTGCATAATTATCAACAGATTTCGAGCCCTTTATATAAAAATTAAATTAATTATAACATTATAGTTGGATAAAATGCAAACATTAGATCCGTATAAAATTTACCTATGAGCATCCAATACTTTGTCTAAATGTATATTTGATACATCAAAGTATATGAGAATAAAATCGGAATTAATTAACTGTTTTGCATCTAATTTTCTCAGTGCATCTCCAACTGAACGCGTTTCAGGTGTTACAATAGTAATTATTTTTATTGAAGAATATGAACGACTCTATTTTGACTTTCTGGATTGAAAAATTATCGAATTTATTAATTTATATAATGCTAAGAATACGATCGTTAAGAATATATAAAATGCGAAACTTACTTGATATAATCTTTTATTATTTCAAAGTGTTCTCTACAAAATAGATATGCCTTACACGCCAGCAGCAACTGCAAGAAGTTCTAAGGTATATTCACTGAGTGGTACACTACAAGGTTAATGCAACGTTATAATAGTGTGGGGTATGAAATAATTCTTAATCACAGAAAAATCATACTCGTGGCCTATCAAGGGTTATGGGACGGAATCGTTCATTAAAGTTATCAGCAAGAATGACGGCTTGTAACATACTTTCGGATTTTAAATTTTTGCCAGAAGTTTTAGGTGGTGGTGATAGCTAAATCGTTTAATGATTATCTACTTTAATAAAATCATAATTTTGTATCTAGCCAATTAGATAAATTCTGAAAATCTGGCAAAAATTGATCGACCGAATTAGGGATGGGAATCGATTATCGAGAATCGATTTTGGTAAAGTAATCGATTTTAATAAATAAAATCGATTTTATTAACGAATTATTTCTTAATTAAATAATAAGTAATACTAATTCGGAAATTATTTATTGTAATATATTTATTAAATTTAAATTTATAAAAATTTTAAAATTTACAAAAAAAAATATAAAAATAAACAATATAAACCCAAATTCTTAAATTAAATTATTATTTTATATATTATATTATTATATTATTATTTTATTTTATTATTTTTATATATTAATAATATATATTATAATAATATTTATTTTTATTTATTATACATATTATATTGTTTTATATTATTTATAATTTTTTAAATAAATATTATATTTTAATAAGTTATATTTAATATTAGTATTAAATTAATCTATATAACAGATTAAATCTATTAAAAATGATAAAATAATATTCATAATATAATATATTTTAATCAAAGATACCTAATTAACTTAAATCAATCAATTTTAAAAAGTTTATATCGATTAATTAATTTTTTATCCGATTAATCGATTAATCGGGTAAGTTATCCGATTGCAAAATCGATTCCCATCCCTAGACCCAATATTTATCAGAATTTATGAAAACAGCTATAAATTTAGAAGCATAACCGGCCATGATTTTTCGACTTTGACTAAGCCGATTATGGCGCTTTGCAATAAAGCGTGACATCTGCAGATCACGATGTCATGCGAAATTGCAAAAAATCAGCGATTTTAGCAGATTTTTCGATTCTCCGACAATTTTAAAGATTTTAAACAATATATACAATTGTTTATTGAAATATATAATTAATATAAAATCTAAATCTCCGAAATTTCCAATCACAAAAATCACAGCGTCACACTTTATTGCAAAGCGCTATAATTCTATCAGTTAATTTTTTTTTTACCGCATTTATTAATACAGGTCGATCAATATTTGACTTCGATACTATAGAATCAATTCTAGTTAACTTTCAGAAAACATTCAATAAAGCATAATATTGGTTATATTTTAAGACGTAAAGTTTTCAACTTATTAGTAATAACGATATTTATTAACATTTTATTATACACATTCGTAAAATATATTATTTTTAAACAAACTTTATAATTTTTTTTTATTTCAAATACAATATTATTTATTTTTATAACTTTATTGATTTTTTATTTATTTATAAATACAAAATTATACATAAAAAAAAAAAATAAAAATAAAGAGATACTTTGTTTCGGAGATTAATTCTCCTACTTTGCTTCGAAGATTAATTCTCCTACTCATCCCAACCACCGCGTAGAGGTGTATCTCATGGTTGGGTCGCCTAAAAATAAAAAAAAAAACTGATAAACGATAAGTTTTAAATTTTAAAAAAAAAACAAAAATAAAGATACAAAATACTCGGAACCAACGGTAAAAACGAATAAAACCTAAAGTCTAAAAAGTAACAAATAAAAAAAAAAATTTAAAAATAATCTTAATTAAACAAAGAACAAAAATAAAGATACAATAACACTAGGAACCGACGGTCAAACCGAATAAAACCTAAAGTCTAAAAAGTAACAAAAAATAAAAAATAAAATTTAAAAATAATCTTAATTAAACAAAGAACAAAAAGAAAGATACAATAACACTAGGAACCAACGGTCAAAACAACTAAAACCTAAAGTCTAAAAAGTAACAAAAGATAAAAAAAAAGATTAAAAATAATGTTTTTAATTAAACAAAGAACAAAAAGAAAGATACAATAACACTAGGAACCAACG